CAGTAGCAAACTTCAGCGTTTCCGATCAGAACAAAACGTTCAAAATTAGAGTGGTGAAGTTACTGAAAAGGGGAGAGGTACTTTTTGGTTTGGAGGGGAAGTTGGTACATGTACTGGTTCTTTTTGCTAATTCGTGTTAACTAACAGGTCTGGTAAGACCTGTAAACTCTTGTGAAGCCAGTACCTTTTGGTTCCAACCAAGCCGAACAGCGCCGGCAGAATGCAACCAATATTTTGGAAATTATGCGGCTTCGGTTATTCGATTAGGGTCCCTTACTGGTCTGTATCGCATTTTTTCTAGAAAACCACAAAACTGAAGTTGCTCAATCGAAATGCTGGCCTATATTTATCAGAGGTTGGGTATTCACAACGCAGAGTTTTCGGGACGGATTCAAAGGCACGTACCGCGTTCGAAAATGATGAGTTGTGCGGCTCAAATGCTAATTAAAGGTGGCAAAAGATTCAGTAATTGTGAGAAAATCAGAAAAACCTACCCGACATTCTCCATCCAAAACCCCACCTTACGAACCGCGTTTGCACGTGCGTAAGGCAAAGAACGTGGTTGGACCAGTTGTCACTAGGGCACGCTATCGCGTTGTGGTCATTTCCAGAAAAATACGACCCTCCCCCTATTTCCAGGTCGTCAGGATTTCACTATCATTTTCAACTATCGGAAATAGTAGTTGTATAGATCTTTGGCAGTCCCTCTCCCAACAACGACCAAATACGACCCCCCTCCCTCGCGGTCAAATACGACCCCCCCCGTTGTGATCATTACAACGATGGCGTGCCCTGATTGGCACTGGTCGGATCAATCCTTTTCCCTCATAGCCTCACCTCACTATTCAAAATGGGAAGAGCTCGTAGCGGGAATAACCGCACCATTAGGAGCCTCTGGTAAGGAAAGTTGGGTATTGCGCTGGTGGGTGGGCGTAGCGTCGCAGTCGTCGCCAGTGGGTCGCGCTTACCTTGCGTATTTTTGAGCTGCGCAAGTGCTCTATCTACTGTGCTTTTTGAGAGGACAATTTTTTTTCAAAGGAATTGTCTGTGCATGAACACGAGGAGCCTCTTTAGATTTTTCCGAATTAACTGAGATACTAAGTCGCTGAAGAAATACAGTCACGCTCGCTGTAGATGCTAGGGCTTGTCATGAAGGGAAGGGGGAGGGATTGGGTCTTTTTTCGAGTGACCTTCCTTCTATAACCAACTTTCTCCCACCAAAATTTCTACTTTCTTCACGGTTAGGTAGTTGTTATTTTGGGTTACCCGAAGAGAGGGAGATTTTGGGACATCTTATGTCTATGGACTATTGAGCTCTCTAGTGAAACGTCGGGTGTGATATAAAAACCGCTTGCTCATCACAGAGAAAGAATAATCAGTGGTTATATGAAGGCTTCTTGTATATAGCTCTTCTTTTCTTTCGATTCTCATAGACAACGTTTCGGAGCCCTTCTTCAGGACACTGAACTATAGAAACGAGCAAGATCTTTTGTATTATTGTACAGAATCTTATTGCTACGAGATTATACAGACATTTTACAGTGTACCGCTACAGTTTCAAGCAGACACTAGCTGAGTTTGAGGCGCCCAGCGGATACTGGAAGGTAGTCGTTCAACGAAATTTCTCTTTGCTTCTTGTAATTTAGCTTTTTGTATGATTTTCTTCTCATTTATCATTGACACACTTATTTACAGGTAATCGCAGCTGGCTTCCTCTTCGTTGTCTCCCTAGCAACATTCTACTCCGTGTTCTTGAATGTTTATGGTATGCTAAAAGACATTTCTGCCTCATACTACAGATTCATTTAAAATGCCTACTGTTTTCAGTATTCCCTGATATCCCACCAACGTTCCAGAATGAATATAAGGAAGCACAAGTCAAGAGGGCACTTGTTCTTGAGAAGGTATGCACTTTTCATCAGACTTGTTCATTATTGCGCGGTGCTGAAGTGGCTTGGACGGATCAGTAGTTGGCGTGTCTGTGCCTTTTCTCCTCGCCTGGACTTGATCTTAGCAGAGCGCAGACGACCAGAGTCCACGAGTCCAGAGGGTTGCAAGATATCTGTCAACCGGATGCTTTCCCTGTGAGGGTCCAGAGATGTTTTCTCATCGCATCTTCCTTCAAAGCATTCAGCAGGAGGAAAATAAGGGAGAAGGGTGAGAGAAGGAAGAAAAAGATGGATGGAGGAAAGAAGAAAAAAGGAAGGAGGATGAAGGCTCCGCGGTTGACAGATATCCTAAGACCCGTCCGTAGTCCTAGAGTGGACATGGTTACGCTGTCGCATGACCTCTCCAAACCACTTCAGCTCCTATCGCGCTTCAGCACTTAAGCGCCATCATGTTTCCAAGCCTTGACTTTGAATTATGCCTTTTTCAGGGCAACTTCTTGGGAGCTCCTAAGTACTATGACTACGAGAACAAGAGGTGGAAGTAAATATGTATATTAGAGGTTCGTTTTGAACCTGTTGTTTAGTGCATTATGAGATTCGGTTCTCTTCAGTTGTTCACTATTTTCTTTTGGTGTCATGAGGGTAAATGAAAAAATCTGGTTCAAAGACACATTCCGCGATGAGCCCATAGGTGACCATTTATGAAGCTCACGGCTTCATCGGTAGTCTGCCTCTAAGAGGAGAATTGGAAGCGTCTAGGAAGGTATCGCTGGTTGTGCCTCCGCCCATCCGACTATCGCGAAATGTGTCTTTAGATCCACGCATTTGTTTTATCCTGATAGCTTAAATTTCAGCTAGCTTCGTCGCGCTCCATTCTCTCTCTGCGGTCGGATCAGTTCCTACTCTTTCATTATTTTTAGCCGTAGATGGGTTATAGTATCGTTTGCTCTGGTCTGACTTCTAGAGAGAAGCACGCGGATAAATGGTTATTACTGTTGTTTTGTTGTTGTTCTACACTATGAACCTTATGTTGTCCATCGGGATACCACCAGTGCGGAACTACTGATAGCGCAGAACTGCTAGCTGAGTGATGTTCTAAAGGAAGACAAAGAGCTCTGAACAGGCACATGTGTGGAAAGAAGCCGGAGGAGGGAAAAACTCACCCGGGCTCGCATGCGGCGCGGTTTTGACGTCACCGCAGCGGCAGGGCGGAGAGAAGGGCGATGGCCTGCGCCTCCGCCATCGTGCTCCGATCAGCAGCCGCTTTTATGTGGAAGGAAAAAGACGAAAAGGGGATTGAACAAATAGTGGATGCGTATAGGTGAGTTAGTGGTAGTGGTGAGAGAATACAGAAAAGTCGGCTATCAGGACCGAAAGTGGCGAAATAGTTCTCTTCGATTGTGAAGACGCGCAAGCAGCTCCTACACAAACGTTGTAAAGTTAAAAGGTCACATCCAACAATTGGCAGTTTTCCAAAGCCCACGATAAACTTTTGCGTAAGAGCTGTTTGCATCTGTTCACAATTGAAGGGAACTATAATGCCAGTTTTGTCATTTATTGAAGTAATCCTCTCTTTAGCCGACTTCTGTATTCTCTGCTCACCCCTACCACTAACTCACCTGTAGGCATCCACTACCTGTTCAATCATCTTTCTCTCCTTTTTAATTCCACATAAAGGCTGCTGATTGGAGCACAGTGTCGGGGGCGCAGGCCATCGCCTTTCGCTTCGCCCTGCCGCCGCGATGACGTCAAAAATTCGCGCCGCAACGCGCATGGGTGAGTTTTCCCACGGAGCCGGGAAGAACAGCCGACACACTTTTTTTGTGGTTCGTGACCAGCTCCGTTTAAACATATCTTGGAGGGCTTCATTACATTTGGTCCTGATAGAATTTAAAGTCGGCGAAGAATTATGACAGCCAGGTGCTCCTGGGCTCTTAATCGATCAAATGAAGTGAGGATGATGATATAAGCCAAGGCACTATAATTTGATACTCTGTCCAAGGTGGTAGGAGGGGTGCTGAATAGTGGGAATAAGGCGAAAAAGCGAAGTGAAACCGTCAAAAACTACTAAAAGGCCTTTGTTCCACATGACTCAGTAAGCAATTTCGGATGAGTTTCCTGTTGGCATCACGCCAACTACCGCTAGATTTGACTGCATTTATGTGATTTATCTCCATGCAGCAACGTAACCGCTTCACATCAATCCCTTTTTCTCATACTGTACTTCGCAAATAAAGCGGTAGGAGCATCAGGATCAGTCGGACATTTGTGGGAGGGCATCCGAGTTCGTGTGTTGCAGCTTGATAGGACGCTATAAGGGTACCTTCTTGGAAAAGGCGCCACGCAGCGCTTGCTCAGGGGCGCGAATTCAGTTCTGCTAGGCGTATTAATCCTACACGTCCTGGAGATTTATCTTGCCAACTGCCTTTAAACAAAGTTGAAAACGAGGACCTGAGGAAGTTGTGCACACAGCCCTGTCCAGCTGATGGTACGAGAGCAGTGACGGTGGTAGTACTGGCACATTTGAGAAGACAGGCGGACCACCCGATATGGATTTTGAAGAACTGTGCAAGCGACCACAAGGAATGAGGGACGTCATCAAGAAGGACGTCACCGAAATCAAGGCCACCGGATGCCTTAGACAGGAGAAGGTGCTGAAGAAAACATCGGAATGAGCGATGACGCGGGATTACCCCTAGTAAAAACGAAAAGCTTCTTATTACCTGGAGTCACCTTTATTTGGCACTGAGAACTAGAAAAGTGACCTCACTGGGGAGCATATTTCGTATCAGGATACGCTGTTGTTGAAGAATCCTCAACGAGACGACCGCGACTAGTTACTGAGGATACGGTCGTATAGTTTATATCGCTGCAATCAGACGGGGCGGTGTCAGTTGGGGCGGAATGAGCCCGCCTCCAGCTGCTTTGCTCTACCAATAGTGATCGGTTAGTGATCGATTAGGAACAAAACATCAAGGAGTGAAAACGCCGTGGGTGGACACATTCCAACCCCTTGGAAACCACCCCGACCAGTTGTGACGATATCAACTTATATGGTTTGCTTTTCACGAAATGGGGAGGGGATGGGGGAATTCTGATGAAGATAGCATGTTTCTGGTCCCACTTTTCCCTTTCTTCCAACTTTCTTTCCCATTTGCTGCACAGGTTTCAAGAAAGGAGGAGACCACAAATCCAATAAGGAAAGCATCCTACGTAGTAAAGCCTATTTTTGGAACAGTTTGTCGCATGTTCTAGAGGTCCATGGAGGAAGGGAATTATGGAAATATTGTTTCTCTCTGCTGCGCGCTCCTGGGAATACACAGAAGCGGTGTAAAAAAGTTCTTCGAGTTTACGACGTACCCAATGATGGAAAGCTCTTCCTTTTTTTAATAAAAGATGGTTATTTTTTTGACACGCTTCCGAATGGACAAAAGTTTCGGCTTATATGAATACAAGAAATTAAAAACTGCAGGAATGAAAAATTTTGTCTATAGGGTTTGTTCACCCTTTCTCTGGCCTTCCCAAAAACACGCAGCTAAAATGACCTACATGGTCTCCGACTGAATCTCTATAGCATGCAAGAGACCGTTCTGAAAACGGACCCCACGATCTGAAAGACCCCCTTGTAGGAACCTCGGCTAACGAAAGTACGCTTTGCCTCGTGATCAAAGGGTGAAAATAGCTTTTATTCACATGTATTTTGCACACAGAAGATGTATTTTTTGGCACATTGATTTCGACTGTTACATACAAACTATTTAATGAATTACATAGCAGAAAAGGCAGAAAGCAGGGTAATGAATGAGG